TCGCGGAAGAGGGGGGGGGGGGTTCTGAGATAGCGAGGAGGTTCTTTACTTCATGGGGGGGCGTACTCATTTGGTTGCTTGTGTCGCTTGCCATGGACCACGCAGCCGTTTCGAGACCGCGCGCTGTGTCCCCTCCGTTTCCCCGCTGCTTGTGCTGCAAACACCTCCAACACATTTGTGGCCTCTTGGATGCCATTGTTGGGAGGAGCGGTGTTCCCTTTTGTGACGAATATTTTTTCAAGCCTTGCTCAACGTGTGTCCCATGAAGGTGGGAGCGATGATGCTTTTGGTGCTCATGCAACCCCGCGCAGCAGTAGATGACGACGTTCGCGTGCCCTGTTGACATGCGACCCTAGGTAATCTACTGCGAGCAAGCTACGGTAGGGGGAGGGACGACCTTCAGCTCCTCGGACGTGTTCATCAACGGCAAGAAAGGACAGGTAAGTCAAGGGAACCTAATCTTGATCTTCATGGTCTCGTTTTCTGTGCTCTGCGGAATCCATTACTTCCATATAATTGCTGGTTAGGCTGTTTGTAGCGTGTGCTCCTTTTGTCTATCGTCACTTATCGTTGCTTGTGGATCGAATACGGATGAGCGGCGACCTTTTGCGGATGGGTGTGACCCGCTTTTTTCGGGGAAGGCCTACCCATGCAACAGCACCAGTCGCGGCGGCCACGGTCATTGCGACCTCCAAAGACGATTTTTTCTTAGCGCGGCCGGTATGTGGCCAGCGTCCGTTCTGTTCTCCCACCCTCTCCTCTCCGAACGCGGCGATTGTGTCAAGTGTTGTTCAAAGTCCCCTCACCCCCCCCACCGACGTTGTATCCGCGTACCCCCTCTCAACACCCAGTCAAGCGTTGTTCGACATCACCCCTCCCCCCTCGTACTATCCGCGTACCCCCCCCCCACCCCCCCGCACCCCCCTCTCAACTTGCAGGCGGCGTTCTTCTCGTACCTTGGTCCCGACAACAAGACCGACAAGGGGCGGACTCGTCATTCCGGCTGCCCAATCATCGAGGGCACCAAGTGGATCGCCACGCTGTGGATGAGGATGGGGGTCACCGCGGAGAAGTCTTGGCAGCACTACGACCCCTCGGGGCTGCCCTCTGCGTGAGTCGACTGCAGACAGACACTGCTGTGGAGCCCGCCCTGTTTTACGAACTGGGCAGTTGAGAGGCTCGTGCTCAATATTGTGTCAAGCTTTGAGCACCGTTGTGTAAGCCCGCTTAAGAACGCCTACCCAGAAAGCCTATGTAGCGGGTCTTTGGGAACCGTGGCCTCCTCCAAAACTAGAGGCCCTGAAGCGTGGGCGCTATCTGTGCAGCAGCAGCGCCAGCAGTTTGTAGTGTTGAAAGCTCTCTCGCCCGAAAGAATACCGGCGGCATTTGTTTGACGTACCCTCGCTCTCTCTCGTGCTCGAACAAAGTGAAGAGGCCGTGGTGCACTATATGGTACCATGTACAGCAGTATTAATAGTGTTTTTTTCGACCGCCATGTATAAAACGTGACAATTTATCACAGCAACGAATCCGCCATAACAACGGCAGCAAGAGAAAAAAAACGCCTCCCCCGCTCCTTTGAGCCACCTTTGGCGGAGTAGGAACGATTGGCCATCGGTGATCGGTCCTGTGGGAACAACGCTCCGTCCTCTCGAGGACGCGTGGTCAATGGTCTATAGCCGTTAAGGCATGAATAACATAAGAGTACGCCCCCCCCCCCGGTCCTTTGTGGCAATTGCCCGCGTCGTACCACCCAGGTACGCTCTGGCGCAAGCAAAGAGCGGGGTCTCAGCGACGGACGCAGCCAGCGTGGAGGCCCAGCACAGCGCTGTCGACGGTAACCAGCCCGATTCCACGAACCCGGTCTCTTCGACAACCACGGTGACCCAAAAGGAGCAAGAGGGTGACGCCAACGTTAACGACAGCAGCAGCAGCAGCAGCAGCAGCAGCAGCAGCAGTGCAGACAATGCTGCTGCTGCTGCCGCCGCGGAGGTGCAAGAAGAAGGATATCTATCCGGAATCACCGGTTCTTTGTCCGGCTGGTTTTCGTAACAACAAATAAAAAAAGTGCAAATCGTGAGCCGTCCTTAGAGTTGCGGGTTTGCTCGCACGGGTGCGGTGTGCGGAGGTTGGCTGCAAAGTTTTTGTGTGCCTTGTCCTGACCGTTGTTTCCTACCTGTAGGCCGGAAGGCCCGGGAGGCGTTTGCTCGCGGCGTGCGTATATAGCTTGGTTGTATTTTTGGGTAACAATGGGGGGGGGGGGGGGGGGGGGCGATATTCACGCGTAGACGCAAACAGCGGTTCCATTGATGTAAAGTAGTGTAGTACTTCGAAGTAGTGTTTTTTGGCACTGTAGCTCAAGACGTTTTCCGCCTTGCCTTGTACAAGCTTCTTTTTGCGTTATACCAAAACCAAGAGAAAACCTGAGTTTAAGGATTCCGCTGTCAACCATCGACTTTTTGTACTTCTGTGACGGGATTCGTTCGTTATCGGAGGTGCACGTCTGTACAGATGAGAATACCCGCCTGTGTTGGCACGAGACCCCCCCCCCCCCCCCCGGACAGTTAATTTTGCGGTGTGCATGTAGACTATGCATTTTACGTGGGAAGTGGCGTATACAGCTGTGACTCGGCCCACCTGTGGTGCAGAGCTCATTCAAGCTTTGAAAATTAATGCATTGATATTGAAATTTAATGCATCGAGGGTACGGGGGCGGAACTCTCCTAACCTGAAGCAAGTGGTGTTGGTTTTGGCTGTTGATTGTTGCGGGGAAGTATTCGAAGAACCTCGTCGTCGTCGCGCACGGAAGCGCGGTGCCGTGGTCACACCCTACAGTACCCCACAAGAAGGCCGATGTTAACCCAGCAGCATCTGGTCTACATACCCTTAGCCACGAACAACACTGCTCGGGGTAAGCGCAGCTAATATTATTACTTCCTCTGTCCTATCTTCGTGTGTTTTTTCACGCGCATTTTCCTGCATGGGTCAACGGCTGGAAAAAAATCAGTCGGCTCAAAAATGGTAACATTTTGCCCCGTTTTTAGGCGTGTGAGAGGATACACAGGGACAATCAACCGCGGATTTTTCGAGTTGATTTTTGAACTGTTTTTTTACATCAGCATCCTCTGCGCTTGATTTTTGCAACGAAGCCAAGCATAGTCATCGGCACCAGGCACCACCGTTCCACATCAAACATTTCTCACCCCTAAGTATAAAGACTTAAGGGACAGAGGAAGCAAGAAGTCAAGTCTCAACCCGCCATACTGTACATCTGTCTGTGTTGCCCGCAAGGGCAATCGCCGAGTCGGTTCTCTTATCGCTAACAAAAAATAGGCGATGGTTTCAAGAAAACGTCGCCTGTTCCCAAGCTCTAGCTTGGGTCTCAGTCGATCAAAAGTCTTTTTTTTCCGTCTGTGTTCCCAAGCTCTAGCTTGGGTCTCAGTCGATCAAAAGTCTTTTTTTTCCGTCTGTGGAGTTTTCAGTAGCATAGCGGACCCCTTGCCCGACCGGGTCGAAAAGGCCGATCTCAGCCCACACTGCGAACCTCCGAGAACTACCAGCAGTTCTGGGTAGCTGAGACGATTTCAAGACCTCTCACAGTCGTTTGAGCATCTATCGCTTGCTGTGGGGCGATAACCAGTTTCTCCGTCGACAAGAAGATCTGCGTTACATCGTCACATCGGAACGACCAGATTGGTTGACTTGTCGTTGAGGGTCCTCTTTTTATAGATCTTTTTGTATAAGAGTCGTCTTCATTTTTTTCGCCGCCCGCGCCAACCCTTCTTTTTACAGATCTTTTTATATAGAGTCGTCTTCTTTTTTTCGCCGCCCGCCCCAAGCCTTGCTTGCTTCTCTCGTGTCCCGCGCCAAGCCTTGCTTGCTGGCTACGCTTCTCTCGAGATGCTGACCGACCTCAGCACACAGCTGGACATTCTGTGTACATACAGCAGGAGCTGCTTTTGTTCTGTTGTTGCAACTTTCTGCATGGATGGCTCTTTTGTGGTGCGAAAATTAGCATTTATTGTTGTTGTTGATGTGCGGACGAGAGGACGAGAGTGGTAGGCAAAAGCAGTACGTACCTGCAAATCTCCGGCAACTACCAGCAGTTCTGGGTAGCTGAGACGATTTCAAGACCTCTCACAGTCGTTTGAGCAGCTATCGCTCGCTGTGGGGCGATAACCAGTGATTTTGTGATTTTCTTCCTTAGTCTATAGTGACCGTTGTACACATGCGGTGGCTGCTGTTATGCTCGGAAGATGCTGCAAAGGTCATAAGGTTATCGTCTCTGTCGCTTGGGCTGCACGCCGTGCTCGCGTAGGAGATGCGCATTCCTCATTTTTTCTCTGTGCCGATATCCATGAAGAAAAGCAACGGCAGCACGGTTGAAGATACAGACAACAGACGGTCCGCCATACCCTTTTTTTTTTCTTCTCTTACATGCATGGATGGGTGGTAAAGCATCGCAAGCGTGTTGCTGCCTTACTTACCTTTAGTGTGCTGCGTAGTCGTAATTTGAGCGATAAGGGGTAGATGGCAGGACAACAATCTTATTTGCGTAGTGAGGTTTGACAACTGGTCGTTCGTGGAACGGTGCGCGTCTATCGCGACGGCAAGCGTATTGAGAAAATAGTTCGTCCGTGGTGCTTCTCGTCATCATTTTCTATTTCGTTGTCACTTCATACTTCATACCACAAGTGATGAAAGAGAGTCTCCACAGTTAGTTCGGAAACGGCGACTATATTTGGTTTGTTGCGTTTGTTGTTGCTGAGCACACATCGGATGTCGTCGTTCGTTACAGCCTGCGGTGGGCCACAGGGACGAGAGTGAGTGTCTTCGGTTAGGGTCTCGAGAGTTAATTAATGCCTTCTCTACGCTTTCTTCTGTTGATCTACGTAGTAGTAGCACCTGTCTCTCCTTCTCGCCTATTATCGCCGTTGGGGTCCCAACAACATCGAACGTCAACCGCAATCGTTTTTCTTCTTGCTGAGTAAGAGGCTATTTGTGTAGTACGTACCCGGCTGCTGTATGTGAGGCGATGGGCGCTGCCTCTTTACTTGAAGCAACGGGGGCATGGCCCCTATAATGTTTGCTGCATGCTGTGCTATGTGACAGCTAGCTTCCAGCGGTTCAGAGCGGCGACGGTGGTTTTCGTATGCTCTCTTTTGCCACCTCCCTGAAGCCTGTCGCGTCTGGCTCACTTGTCTTTGTCGTCCCTTCTTCTTTTTCTTTTTTTTCTTAACATAGTCTATATTTTATTTTTCCGCTTGCTTTTTGGGGTCCGCCGGTCATCCGCCCACCACCCATTAGTTCAGTTTTAAATGTTGTTGTTGTTGTTGTTGTTGTTGTCTTCGCATTAAAAACCGTTCAGATCTCTCTCTACCCAGTACCTTCATATGTGCGTACTGATCCAACCACTTGACGCGGTCGATTCCCGTGGTCACAGGCTAACTTACCCTAAAGAGGTACGCTAAAACAAACTGGCCCCGAAAGGTCCGCAAGTCAATAAAAATCAACGACAGATATTCTTTGGAACGGGGTGTTTACTTGCCATCTCTATGCAAGTTTCACAATTAATTTTGAAGCTTTTCTGAAGCTAGTTGAAACAGTAGTGTCATCGTTCGATATCCGTTCGGTGAGGAATCAATCGCAAATCATGACCCGTCCCCGAGTTGTAGCAGCTTCCGCCTCCTGGGGCCGGCAAGAGTCGGCCTTCACTGCTGTACCTTGTCTGTTTCGCCATGGGAATGGCCGGTTCAAAGCGAAAGAGGGTCCTGCGTGCTGCGCGCCACCACCTTTTTTTTTTTGCGTTTGTTTGTTGTTGTGATTTTCTTCCTGAGTGACCGTTGTTGTACACAACATGCGGCTGCTGCTGTACACATACTTGCGGTTGCTGCAGTATATGCTCGGAATGAATGAATGTGCTGAAAAGAAAGGTCGTAAGGTTATCGTCTCTGTTTTTTTGGGCTGCACGCGTTGCTCGCGTAGGCGATGCGCGTCTCCTACTTTTTTCCAGTGTCGTTGTCGGCAGCACAGTCAGTTGAAGAGACAAACAACAACAGACGGTCCGCCTTGTTTTGTTTTGCTGCATGCGTGGATGGGTGGTATGCATCGGCACGCGTGTTGCTTCCTTGCCTTGAGTCTGCTGCGTAGTCGTAATTTGAGCGATAGGTAAGCTAGATGGCAGCACAATCTTAGATACTACGTAGTGAGGTATGATAACCAACAGCTCGTTCGTGCAGCGGTGCGCATCTATGGCGGACGGCAAGCGTATTGCGATAATAGTTCGTCCGTGGTGCTATGTAGTCGTGCTCTTTTTAGTTCTCACTTCCTACAACAAGATAGTAGTCCACAGCTCGCACACGGCGACTGACTATATTTGTTTGTTGTTGTGCTTGTTTGCTGTTGCTGAGCCGACATCGGATATCGCCGTTCGATACACAACGTGACATCATGTCTGACAGCCTGCGGCGGGCCAGAGGGACGAGAGTGAGTGTCTTCTCGACAGAGTCAATGCCTTCTCTTCTCGAGAGAGTCAATGCCTTCTCTTCTCGAGAGAGTCAATGCCTTGTCTTCTCTCCGCTCTCGTATTTTTGTCTACCTCTCTTTCTCTCTCTCTCGCCTTTCGCCGGTAGGGTCCCAACAACATCGAACGTCAACCAACCGCAGTCGTTTCGCTTTTTGCTGAGTAAGAGGCTACCCGTGCATCCGGCTGCTGCATGTGAAGCGATGGGCGTTATGCCAAGCAATGGACTTGGGCCCTACCTAATATTTGCTCCATATGTAGTGCTATGTGAGAGTTTCCAGCGGTCCGGAGCGAGCGGCGACGGTGCTTTTCTTCTATGCATGCGCTCTTTTGCCTCCTCCCTGAAGCCTGTCGCGTCTGACTCGTTTGTTCTCGCTTCTTTCTTTCTTTTGTTTTTCATGCTTTTGTTTTTTGGGGTCCCCCGGTTCCTGTGTGCTCATCGGGCATCTTCTTGGTGTCTACCTTGATTGTTACCCGCTGCAAAAATCGAAAGCTTCAGACAGGCAACGCGACGATACTCGTCGAGATGCCATACACAATGAATTCATTGCTAATCTGTCTCAGACTCTTTTCTATGATGGAGATGGATTCGTTGTGTCATATTAAGAAGAATAAACATAAAAAAACATCCTGTCGTTACTCTATCGATACCTCACACCCACCCCTACTCACGCCGACGCAGACACAGACAGGCAGACTCAGCTCTTTCGCCTGTGCTGTATCTGTTGTTCGTGCGTGCTGAAAAATGGTACATACAGCAGCAGCTTACCGCAGCAGGAGCTGCTTTTTGCTTGTTTGTACAGCTTTTCCTGCAGGGATGGCTCTTGTTGTGCGGCAAGTTGCATTGTTTGTTGTTGATGCGGACGAGAGGACGAGAGTGAGTGGTAGGCAAAAGCAGTACGTACCGTGTTAAAGGGACAGACAGAGTGCCTACCGTGTGTATGTAGACGTTGCATTTCGTGATTCCCGAGGATCGGATGTATGTGTTGTTTTTTTATTGCGTACCCGCGTCCATCACGACCATTATTGCGTAGTGTGTCGGCTAATTAAGGTCCTTCCCGTTCGTGGTGTCAGCACACGCGCAACACGCGACTAAAATAAAAATATAAAGCTTGGGACTAGCAACGCCGACGATATTCGTCGGCTTGCTTTCAACAATAGTCTGTATAGCGGCAACCGCGCTCCTTTCTCACGTTGTCAAGGTTGCTGACTGCTCCGCTCGACGTTCGGCAGGGGGGAAAAATGATACAAGTATACAGAGTAGAGGTCCATGTTCAGTGTTGAAAAGTGCCGGTTGCCGTTACAGTGTCTGTGTTTCGGCGGGCACACACTGAATTACCAAGTCCTCTGTATCCTGATTATTCGTGCCGGTGACTTTTCTGAGCACATGCCGGCACTAAACATAACCTCTACTGCTGTAATGACACCTTGCTAGGCGCTCGCGGTTGTACAAGGAGAGAGTTGTGAACTCGAGATCCACCTACATGAAGGTGCTGCATGCAGTTTTTTCGATGGATCGGCGCGCGAAAAAAATAACTTTGCTGTTTGCATACAATTGTACAGCAGCGTGAAGTCATCAAAACCTGACACACCGACCGGCGCCCCGCAGGTCTTCCGGCCGCGTTTATCACATCCCGAGAAAAAACCGCAACACTTTTTTTATAATTATCAGAGGATGCTTCACGAAAAGCGCAGCCGCAACTGGAGTTTGGCTCTTTGAACCAACCACCTCTTTCTCCGTTGAACACGGTGACAGACTGCTCTGCACCCTGCTCTCTATGGATGGCACCCTACCCGCCTCACACCCGTCGCCACAGCAAGGGCTCACAAAACCGAAGTGAGACAAACGACCAACCTTACTAAGCCCAGCACCTCACTCGTTGTCAACCAATCATCCCCTCGAAGTCCACCAACTGCGTGCTACGAGCGCCTCTCTGCGTCACCTGGCCCGGCGGCGTCGTGCACGCTCCGAATACCTACTTATTATGCGTGCTTGGACGCTTACGCCTTTTACTGCCCAACAATCTGGGAGGTGGACACTCGCTCGTGCGAAATGTGGGTATCCCCCCCCCCCCCCCCCCCCCCCCC